ACAGTACCCAATCAAACACAAAGCTTAGGGGCAGATTAGGAGCTGACTTGTGCTGCACAATGCTTCTATCAGGGACCACACTGGTTTTAAATTACCCCCTATTCCTCACTCATTTTCAGTCACTCACTGGCCCAATAAAGTTTGTTTCTCCAATAAAAAAGACCAACAAAGGAACACTAAATCCCAGTTTGTGCAACAGCAGTCCCATGCAGTCCTCCACATTGTGTGTTTCTGTCTGGAAAACTGTTCGTGAGCATCAGGAATACGGTCGGCTTTAGATGGATTGAAAGTGAAAAGAAGACATTTCCTTTGGATTAAATGTGTGTTGTAGTTATATGGAAAAAAGGAATGATGGAGAGATTGAAGGATGACAGATGTGCAAGGGGAGGTGTGGTCACTGTCACGCATGTTGTCATTTCCAGAGGGAGTGAAGTCTTTTCAGACGACAGCTGGTTTCACTCACAGAAAAGACATGCGGCGGTGAGAGAGAGAGAGAGATCAGACCTCAGCCACTGAATATTTATGATATTGGTCCGCAGAGATTTCTTGCCACATTTTTTGTGGTTTTCAGGGGAGTTAGTATTTGGTGACCCTCACAGACTCACAGATACATGAGTGATCACAGGTACATTCAGATATTCACACTTGCACTCATGGTCTCTGAGGGGAAAAAATGAAAAACGGAAATAAGTCATAGAGATCATTAGAATGGGAAGTCATGAATGTGGCAAAACATAAAAGAAATACCTTAGGGAAGAGAGAAGATTTAGGAAACAGACCTACAGACACACACACACAAAGACCCCATGCTGGAAAATGTCATTGCTGATCTTTGAAGCACACAGTGGTAATGAGGCTCCATTTAAAGCCAGTGGAGGCGCTTTGGCAGCTTATGAAACCAAGATCGGTGTGTGCCCCCCCCCCCTCGGCACACTGGGTGGTGAGTGTTTGTGTGGCTGTGTATGTGTGTGTGTGTCATGTCAGTAGGATAGGGAGATGGAAGAATGGACAGTTGGACAATACAGTGTTCTCCCAGATCTGCTTTGCTCTTTTCCACCACTTGAAGCAGCAGCACTCTTCCAGTCACTCCCAAGAGCTCAGTTTTCTCTGCAAACACTGAAGTGGCTGCCCAAAGACACTTGAAAAATGAAACATTTTCACATTTGTTGGAATGGGACAGTAATTAATATAACAACCTCTTTATCTATATCATTATAGCTACTGACAGTGACACAAGGAGAGCTCCTCAGCTCTTCATACACCAGGATGCCAGTAACTTCAGATTTATCAAAGTGAGATAGGGACTTTTCCCCTTTTAATCGTTGAACCAATTAACCAAAGGACAATACTGTGTCAAACCTGTATACTGGAGGCAGTGCATGTACTTCCTAAAGAAACGTTGAACTAAGGTAAAAATGTTACACGCTGTATATCACAAGGAGATGCAGAGAGAAAACTAAAGTGATATGATGAATATGATATGAAATGTCCCACAACCCTGTTCAGGATAAGCGTTATATATAAAGGATGGATGGATATGAAGTGTTATTTTTTAACTCTGGTACCAGTCTGAACCTTCATAGACTGTTCCAGTTCTTATGGAGATCTACCTCATACATTCTGAAAAGTCATGGCATTTGTACAGTTATCACGGTGGGAATACCTATGTGCTAAAACAAGCCAGAAGACTCAGAACAGTCCTAAAGTTGGGGCAGTGTGGCTTTATTGTTCACAAACTCAAATATCTCATAGGATCATAAATCTTGATTTCCACTGGTTGTATAGGGCATTAAACTGTTTTGGTGTAATGGGAATTGGACAGGCAAGCTGATGGGAGGCCAGAATGTCCAGTATGGATATATATGCTCAATGCGGAGACATCTGTGATGGTATGTCTGTTGAAATTATTTCAGGAATGTCTATTCTCAAAGTCTTGATGGCCTTGTTTGGAGAGAGTGCTGATAAATGGTCACTTTCCTGTAATTTACCTTGAGAAGGATGGATGGAGCTAGCCTATTTGGTTAGAGGGTGGGGAAACCAGGAGAGAGGAGACAGTAGGTGAGGAAGGGGGAAAGAGAGTAAGGAGTTTCCTGCTTTGGACCTGACATAGGACTTGGGTTTCCTCAGAGGTGAGATGTACATTTATGTGTGTGCTTCAGTCCTTATTTACAGAGCTTTAGCTGTTGCTCTGCTCATAGTGGAAGGGAGCCATCTACCCAGTACTCTCCCCCCTCAAACCCCAGTCTCACCCCTGTGAGGGGAAACACAAAAAAAAAATCCAATGGGAAACATACACATCAATTTGATATCTTTTCTGCAGCTCAGGCTAATGACTGCTATTATAGAGACAGATGATAAACACAACACACAGATCATTAACTAATAATTTATTTTTTATCATTTAGATTGAAAAGTCAGTGGTTCATTGCCTCAGAGGAAAATGTACAAAGATGATTTTGATAGAAGAGAAGAGCAAGGCTCAATTAAGGGAACAATCCCTCTGTTCCCAAAGGATGACAGATAGACAATTTTGTGTGAGTTAATCATTATTTTTAAGGCATTAATAGAACAGAAATTGGTTTTTCTGTCAGTTTCTGTCTGTAACTCTATTGGAAGGGCAGAGGGGCCGATCAGCTCATGTCACATTTTAACACAATTCTCATCAAAATCATTTACAATTGGGTGGCCGTTGTCTGGAAACCACAAAAAACCAAAAGGAATGCATTCTCTATAATATCTGAACCACATCTTCTGGTTGGGATCACAAAATCATATGTTTCTGGTTTCTGGTTTCTACATCCATATAACACCATCTGGTTTGCACATCCATACACGTGAATCATCTCAGGCAAGTGACATTTTAAACAAGACAACATAACTGGCAGAGGCAGTTCCAGACTTACAGTATTTACAATATTAAAAATGTGTCAAGACATATTAAAGGTAGGATGAAAAGATGAAAATGAAACAGAAAAAAATGGGAAAATGTAAAAGATAAGTCTTCATCAAAGGCTGTAGATTTATTACCCAAAGACATGACAGCTCTCTCACCTCTCTGCACTTTCAGTTCATGTGCATATCACTTGTTTACTCAGGTATATTACAGGTAATTAAACACAAACACAAGCATACATACACACTTGTTTTCATTCCTCATAAGTACTTTCCATTGTCTTACATTAATTTCCTGGAGACAAATTCTAATCCTAACACTAACCTTGCCCTAACCTTAAACAACTCTAAAATTCAATGATTTGCACGGTGGTTTCCAGCATCTGGTCCCCATAAGGAAGGCATAAGGTGTGTAAACAGGTTCTGGTCCCCACAGGCACACACACAAACACATACACATACCTGTGAATGCTATAAATGCTGAGAAAGGGGGAAACAAAGTAGTGCAGTGATGGCCATAGTACCACTGCCAAGCAGCCGGGCTTGTTAAGGTCAAACAACAGGACGGCTCTCACTATGAGGCTCACTACTTAGCTTTCACAAGAGAAGACATTTTTGGATCCCCTAAATAACATCTGATTATTTATCTTTAGTCCAACATTCAGGGTGGGTGCTTAGGAAAAGAAAAACTGAAAGCCATTTGAAAGTAAAGAAGGATCTTTGCGGGATTCTACAGTAAATGAAATGAAGTCCAGATTCACTGCACTTTCTGTGTGTGTCGGGCACTTAAGGAGTTGAGCACCAGAGAGGCTTCATAAGCACCTACAGTAATTTGACCATTCATCACAATGCGAGAGACTGGTGCTACTGTAACACCACCTGTCTGACAGGCCACTGTGGACAGCCAACACACAAATAATTGACTGTTTGGTTCTGCATTTTTGTGACAGTCCATTAGCAGGATCTGTGCCTTGGACATTGCACTGTCCAAACTTCAGTGCTTGTTTTATCCTTTGTTTTTTCATCACACAACAGGAATCACAGTGGATGACAACTCATTTTGGTTATGGGTTGTTTTTAGGACTGGATGATTAAAAAATCATTATGAGGCAAACAACATGAAATCCACAATCACTTGAACAACGTTGAACCCTGTTCATAGTTTATAATAATAGCATCAACTGTCGTGTCATGGCATCCACATTTTTAAGCTTGGTGGCATTATTTCATAAACCCTTACAATCAGACCATACACTTGTATGAGTGTGTCCTTCACAGTTTGACATACATTCTTGGAAAACATGAAAACAAGAACTACAGTGCGGCACAGTTAATCACTGTGCCGTCACTTATCTAAGACACTCGATACACGACATGCAAAATGGGTTAAAAAGGGATTTTAGGGAGAGTGGTGGCTGACACAGAGAAGAGAGCAGAGGAGAGACACTTTTGGAAGAATGTCAAACCAAACATACTGTACCACTGCAGCCAAAGGAGTGTAACCACTACCCAGCATGATACGCCTGTCGGCACACTCGCTGCTACACTAGCTTGATGCACCCCTCAAAGCTGTGTGTTTATCTTGTACTCTATTTAAATAAATTGTAATGTGCTTTACAAAATGAAATAACAGCAAAAGGCAGATAAAAAGCTCGACAGCAACAAGATGGGCCTCTCTGTGGTTTTTGTTGGTCCTGACTTTCATAATTGAATTTAAAAACTGACTATACTTATTTGGTAATGGATGACAGGGACTGCGTTTGGGTGGGTTAAGTGGGAGTAGTTGACTTGGGAAGTTTTTCTTTGGATCTTAGTGTTCATATTGGTTTAGTCCTTGCTCTGCGCATTGTAAGATTTTGATGGACCAGCAAAAGCCACAAACATGCAAACATAACAAAGCACACGAGGAATGAAATATGATCCTCTCATGTCATAATACAATCAGTGAACACTAAAAACTTTCCAGCCTCATTCATTCTGTCAAAATATACTCAAGAAAAACACGACTATGTTGTTTATCTGACTTTGTTTTTTTTACTGCATGAAAAGAAACTCTCTTTTCAATCTCTTATTTTGGCAAACAAAAGCCTGCCAGTCACTGGAAAAAAAAAAAGATAGTGGCCACACAGCAACATCTGGAAGATCACTACCATAAAGCAAAACGTCTTCTGGTATTTATACTGGTATTTTTCTAAAATTCCAGCCATTTATACACACTGCTTAATCTTTCTTCCAGAAAAAGTGACAGGCAGTGAGTCATGATGGTGATGCATGTCTTCATAAACCACATGAGAAGAACTAGTGGTGAAGTGGCACAGTCTCAGAGGAATGTGACTCACACATACAAACAGGAAGTTTTCAATTTAAAATGAAACAAAGGGATATATCTCAAATAAAAATATGGCTGGGATATGGATGGTTGAGATTACAAGTAGCCACACAAACAACTTAAACTCTATTATGAGCAGTAGCATCAAATACTTGCTGATATAAGAGCCTACATTAGCAGTTTTTTATGTGAGGGCTGTTTGGTGGCAGCAGCGTTGGTGGTGAAACTGAGGTTTGCTGTGGGGAATGTTCCCACAAAAGGAGCCCATGGTTCCTCACAGTACAAGAGTTCCTTTAGTTTAAGTCCATAGCCGTTATTGCAAAGACCTGGAGCAAGTAGGCCCATTTTATTAATGTTTTAACAGCAAATGTTGAAAGGTTGTCAGATGGTCCAGCTGGTGCTGATCCGAGTTTGTTTCAACACAGAAACGCAGGGTATGCAGCATGTCTCTGAAATGACAAACACTCCTGAATAAAATCCTTAGAGCTGTATGTGAAGTATGAGCACTGGTAGTCTTGTATGTGAGAAGTGAAACATGGTAGGAGATAGTCAGTCATGTCAGGAGTAGGAGGCTGGGTGACAGGAGGTCATAGTTGGGGAATGAGTGAACATTTCCACTTTTGTTGTTGAAGGAACGGGGTCTACTTTTGTCTACACTTCATACCCTTTTTAATGGTCCCTTTTTAAGGCAAACCAATTGGACAAAAAGATAAGTGACATAACAAAGGCAAAACTTGAAAAATAAAAATAATTATACAATATACACAGACTGTGGTCCTTAAAACAGGTAGGGTATATGCAGTCTTTGTAATGTGCAGTGCTCCCATGATGGGGGAGGAGAAAGGACAAGTCAAAGGTTAGGGTTTATGCAGGTGGGTAGTGGAGGGGGAGGCAGGGATTCACACTGCTTTCCCATCACGCTTTGCTGCATTTCCCCTTCTTCTCTTTGCGTTGGAACTTCCTCAGACGTCTTGTCCAAATGTCTCTCCACTGAATCACCAGGCTGTTCTTGTCAGCCATCAGGCCCACACGCTCCGCCCCTGTACTGGCGGCTCCACCTCCAGGACCAACCCCTGGACCAGTCCCTGGACCCGTTCCACCCTCACTGCCGCCCATCACCAAGAAGCGTTTGCTCATCTGGATCTTGGGACATTTGCAGGCGAGGTCCTTCATGTGTACCCACAGGATGTTGTCGCCTCGCTTCAAAGGCTCGTCGCGGCTCTTGTATACAGACACCACATTGACTGAGAATTTGGCCCAGTCCCCCACTGTCTCCATGTCCAGCACATTCACTTGAACCGCTAGGAACACATTGACCAAAAATGCATTCAGGTCAGTACTCCCAAAAGTGTATACATCTATTAGTAGCTTCTGAAATCTACTTTCTCACCATAATCCTTTTTGCAGTATTTCTTCATGTTGATCTTCAGGTTGCCCTTCACTGGTTTACAATACGACTCACAATCTGCAAAGACAAGGACAACCAGCATTAACTCCCGTAAGGCAGATTGTAACTCCATTCAAATTTTATACAACCTTGGATTCTTGCACACTTGAAATATGAATCATTTTATAATCATTACATTTTAATTCTATGCCACACCTTTTCATAGTGCCTTTTGTGGTGCTCTTGTTGTACATAAATAGCTAATGGCACAGCTGCAATGCAAGTTAATGTGACAAACTGTTACCATCAGTAAACACACTCAATAGCATCAATGTATATCACAATATGCTTGCCTGTGCGTATGCACACAGGCTTGGGTTGTTATACACCAATATGTATGATGTATTAAAGCTATATGTACAGAACGTATTAGATTATATTTGTACTTGTGTTGTTTAAAACTTTGTGATGACTATGGCCATATTCCCCCTTGTCCTTGCAAGAATTTATGTTCACTGAAGGGCTAAAGACTCCAAAGGAAACTGCAGCATGTTGGATGACGTTAAGCTTGGTTCAGTTTTTGTGTGCTAAAATACAACCTCTGACAAATCACTTACCAAACTGCTGCATGGCAGCAAGTGAAACATACCAGAGGAGTAAAAGTGTTCGGTTTGACATGTTTTCTAGGGTCTTGAGAAAAGACAGAACGTGGCGGAAGCAGGTCATGGTTGGACTGATGTGAATAGGCCTTGGCTGCCACTGTGATGACTGAGACCACACATTGGACAGATGACCTCTACTGACCACTCATTGGTGTAGCTGCCAGTGATGAGGAGTTAAAATTATAATGGTGACAGTTAAAATGGTCCTCTTGGGTGAGTGACTCTTCTTGGGTCTGAAACCAGCTTTGGCTTACTTTAGTCATCAAATGGTTAATGCACTGCACTTATATAGTGCTTTTCCACTTTAACAGATAAAGGCCCAAGGACACCTGAACATGTGGACTGAGGAGCTGGGAACCAAACCACCAACTCTACAACTGGTGGACGACCTGCTCTGCTGCCAAATGTCATCTACACAAATCTTTTTGAAGCTGGCCTTTCTTCACACAAATTTCAGCCAAAGAGAAGGCCTGCTGTGCCCTCATCTTCTCAGTCTTGGATTTGAAGCAACTGGTTTGATTGATTTTGATTAGATTTGATTTGATTTATTCTTTCAAGCATGTAAAGACAGTTGATATGTCAACACACATAATTTTACACATATCCAACAAATGCTAATCCAATATCAATGTGCTTATACCTAGTACATGCTTGAATGGAGTAGGAAGAAGTCAGACTTATCCAGTCCTACCCCATGACATCATCTTACCATCATTGGTTTGCAAGCAGTAAATCCATCTAATTAATCATTGAGCCTGTTCTTGCATATATCTTGATTGACACATACCTTTATACTTATGTTTAAACTCGTCAATTCTATTACTATTTTTTATGTCTACACTTAAATTATTCCATAGTTTTACCCCACTTATGGAAATACAAAATCTTTTTTTGGTTGTACGTAACTGCTGTACCTCCTCTGTGCTACATAGCCCAAGGTTTATTTGCAACTTGAGTAGAAATGACATTAACAATGACAATTGAATTTACTTTTCATTTGATGTTGAAAAATGACTTTCTGTCGACTAAGAGAGTTGGAGATATGTTAATTCAGATATGGAACCCTTTGAAGGCCTGAGGGCACATGCATATAGCTGTTTGTCATGGTTTGTTTTCTCGTGATCTTGAAATATTTATTTTGTCATCTCAACATTAAAAGCTTTGCTTTGCTCTATGATCCTGAAACACATTTTCCATGAGCAAAGAGCAGAGGGAATGTGGAACACAGAAGACAGGCAACATTAAATGAACATTCAAAAACAGATGATGACAAGAATCCTTGATAACATTTTTAAGTATTGCAGTCTGTTTTAAATTGTCTTCATAGTAATATGTCTGGAGCTGTGGCAAGAAAGAAAGAGGCACTGTTGACCATTAGCAAGGCTCTACTGTACTTGAATGGATGCCACTGGATTTTATGAACCATATAATATTGAGCCCACTTATTTAAATTATGAAACTATGAGAAGGACAAAGTAAAGAAAAAATACAAAAATGATTAGCTGAAATTCTAGTGAATGCCATGAAGGTCGTTTTCCATCATACTTTCAGCCTGTGTCAGTGAAGGGGCATGAAAAGCTGACCATACTGCTCGCTTGGAATGTCAGGGCATGAAACTGAAAAACCACATGCTGCTAACTGAACTGGTATCTGTGGTCAGGCCTCTCATTGCCTTCAGAAGGAAAACCATTCAGCCATGTTGTTTTCCAAAGCAAACCAAATAAAATTGCTGGACATGAAATGTCCCAATAAGAGGAAGAGAAGAAAAGAAAAAAAAAGAAAGAAAGCAGTCGTGAGAGAAAGAAATTACACTTTGGTTGCATGAGAATATGGGTGCTGCACCTTTTCTTTTTTGGGGGTGGGTGGGTGTACTGGATTGGAGCAGTAGAAGGAAGGCTGGAGAAGGAAGGAGCAGGGGACCAAGGAGCCCATAAAAATGTCCAGGAGGCTTGGCTGTATATCACAGCAGTGGAGATTTTATTATCCAGAGAGAGAAGAGAAAAGAAAAGAAATAGAGAAAGAGAGAGAAGAGGGCAGCTTCCAATAACCTTGAGATTTGGTGATGTTTTAAGAAACAATGAATGGAAGTGTAAACGTTGGCGGGCGGAGAGGTGTGAACATGGAAGGATGTGTGTTGTACATTATTCACAGATGTCAAAAAATGATGTTAAATATCATAACTTGCTGAAGGTCGTTTTCATTATAAGTGAGTGTGTGGTTTCATGTGCAGATCATTATCATGTAAGTGTGCATGCAACTGTGACAAGCGTGCATTTGCATGAAATGTGCATGGATTTCATTAGATCACTGCTGTTCTGTGTGTCTGTGTTTGTGTGTGTGTGGTATACAGTGGCTGGCCTGGAGGTATCAGTGTTTAAACACTGGATGGGGGACAGTGTGCGTTTTCCCATGAAGAGTTGCTTACTGCTGGCTGTTCACCTGGAAAAGTTCTTGGTGAACTGCCCGCTGACCCAGAAGACGGGCCCTCTGAAAACATGCACAATTGGCAACAGGGCTCTTGATGTCCTCTTTTTTTTTCACTGTGGCATGACAAGGACAAATTGCATCCACCGCCCCTAACACAAAAACATTTTGGGGCCTTAGGTTTCTGATGGTGACACTCGTTCTATGGTAGTTTAGGAAGAAGAAAAATGGGGGAAATGTGTTTGGTAAAGTGTGGGGTGAATTGGCGATCAGCAACTCTTGTGTTCTTGGAACCCTATAACACTTTCCCAGGGAAGTTGTAAACACAAGAAAGCACTGTACTGTGTATTTTTACTTTTTATTCAGAAAGCTCAAAGGTCCAAGTAATGCAAGGAAAGGGAAGAAACTAAATGAGAGAATGAGGAGAATAACTCAAAATGTGAGAATATTGTAACTAAGGTCTGTTTACTGAAAGTCTAAAGGAATTTTTAGACATTTTGAGAAATACACTTATTTACTTTCTTGAGAGGACTGATACCACTGTCATGTCTGTTTGGTAAATATTAAGCAGGAAATATTAAGCAATATTAATATTAAGCAGCCAGTTAGCGTTAGCTTAGTTTAGGAACTAGCCTAGCTTTGTCCAAAAGTAATAAAATCCACATACAAGTTGATACCAGTATCTCCAAAGCTCACTATTTTTAACATGTTATGTCATGTTTACTAAATCTGAAAAAACAAACAAACTGCAAAAGTGACAAAGACTCCAGTCTTGTACAAAGCTAGCCACTAAGCTCAGCTTAACTATATCTACTTGCAGAGACATGAGAGAAGTATCGGTCTTCTAATATAATTCTTCGCCAGAAAGCAAATCAGTGTATTTCTGTTTCTTTAATGTGAACCACCTTTGTGGTTACTGTATGCAACAGTCACATTGGCTGTGTGACCAGGTTCGACCTTTCGGCATTACGAATATCCTTAACCCTATAAGTAAGACCTTCAAACTGCACTGTGTCTAATATTTGAATGTTGTACTTTAACAGTGGCAGAATGGCATAGACTGGGAAAGTGGAGGGTACAGTCTGCAGCCTACATGATGATATATGTTATAAAGCTAATAATGAATCAACATTTCCAAATCAACACCCCATTTAAATCAAACAGCCGCAGAATAAAAAATAAGGGAAGGGAAGGGTAATTGAGTGGAGCATAAACTGGAGATTTAGAGGGAGAGAGTGAACAAATTTCCCTCAGTCACTTGCCAGCACTCTTTTCATACCTCAAAACTCTCCCTTCCACTATATCGCCCTGCTAAACTATAACTAATCACCTATCTATCTGCTGGCCTTGGCTTTAAGCTGCAGCTATACGTTGGGCACAGTGAGGCTCCACTAACTTGAGGCTAGCGGTTGGAAAAACTGTGCCAAGGACACAGGTTCCATTGTGCCAAGACAATGGAAAAATTCTACCTGCCCCAGTGCACTCTCTTTCTTTGTACAACTTCAAAAGGACCCACCATCCATTAATATTTATACAACACCTTAAAACTCAAGTCCAGGAATATCAAATAATATGTTTTTGTGCTTCTCACAAAGCAGGGGTGCTTATGGGTGAGGTGCATGGAGCGTATACTAACCTGCTGGTTCCTCTGTGCTGCTCACCACAGCTGTGGGGTTGACCACTGGGATTTCTGAAAACACACACCAGAAACACAATGTTATTTCACTGGTCAAATGTAAATCTGTAACGTTCAAGCATAGTCTGAATGATTTTGTTGGATGCCTGCTAAGAGTGTATGTGTGGTCAAAGAAATGAAGTATGCCTGAATTCATTAAAAGTAATTCAAAGAGTGGGAATGGGCAGGTTCTGTGAATATATTAATACAACAAAATACAGAGGGTAAACTTAGTATTGAGGAGAAGTGTTGTTTTACAGTAGGTTTGGCTTATGGCAGTATGGTGACTATGAAAACACATGGGGAATCACAGACAGACATATTAGATAAACAATGACAAGGGGACTTATTGCTGGTGAGAGGGAAGACAGGCTCAAATCAACCACAAACTAATGTGGCGGTTTCACTGCCATCTTTAAGGAATACACTGAAAGATCTTAAGACAATCTAAGTGGAAATAATGGCATTCAGAAGACCAAATGAAAGTTTTAAAAGCTGTAAATATACCACAAATTTACCATGTAGTTTGGATAAATCTGTTCATTCAGGCGCTGGCACACATTATACAACTGAGACAGAAGTTATTCTTTGTGCCACGCTGATTAAAATAGAAAGGTAGTTGCACTAGATTAATCTTGGACTCTCCTAACAGATGCTGGGTTAACCCTGCTGTGTCGTCTCCAGGCAGGCATGTATAGACAGATGGGCAGATAGCAAGAGGGCAATTTTGTTTGGATCATCTTGAGACAGATGCCATCTTCCCTTGCTGTGCCCGCTGGCTACACTAAAAAGTGCCTTGTGGAATTCCTCCAGGACTTCCCTTCTAATCGTAAGCCACTGTCTGTCCAATACAAATGCTAATACTAACAACAGACCCTCTGCTTTTACTGTAAACAGTTACTGGAACACTAGGTTAGCTTCCACCCAGAGGATTTGCTTTTGATTGGATTTAGAGATTGGGGGGGGGGGGGTGGTG